ATGGCTGTGAGAGCTGGACCGAAGAGAGCTGAGCGCGGAAGAATTGATGCCTTTGAATTGTGGTGCTGGGGAAGACTCTTAGGAGTCCCTTGGACTGCTAGAAGGTTAAACCAGTCAATCCTAAAGGAAATCAATCCTGACTGCTCATTGGAAGGATTGATACTGAAACTCAAGCTCAGATACTTTGGCCACCTAATGCAAAGACCCTCTTTGGAAAAGACCCTGATGCTGGGAAAGATTGAAGGCAAAAGAGAAGGGGACAGCAGAGGATGAGATGCTTAGATAGCATCACCAAAGCAATGAACATGAAACTGAACAAACTCCAGGAGGCAGTAAAAGACAGGAAGGCCTAGCGTGATATGGTTCATGGGGTCATGAAGAGTCGGACACGACTTAACGACTGAACAACAACAAAGTCCCTAGGAACGGCCAAATTTATCAGTGGTCATAAACAGTGGCCAGAATTGGTACTGAGTATTCATAGTACTTTTTAATTAGGTCAGGGCGATTCAGTCATCTCCAGAAGTCTTCCCTGATTTTAGATGAGAGAGCAAATCCATAATATTAGTTAGCTTCACGAATGGCCATTGAGGGAGAGCTTTCATACTAGAATAGAAAAGCTGGTTAGACATACCCTCATTAAACCCTGAAATGTCCTTCCTAGTGTTCTGGGGATGGCACTGTCCTATTGAGATGCATATTACAGCTGGTGGCAGTAATAAGCCAAAAACCAGCAGAGTTTTTGTTCTTAACTGCCTGAAAAAGTGGAATCCAGCCTTCTTCCATGGCAAGCCTTTCCTTATGCCTTGGTAGTTGTTTGTACTGCCTATTTTGGTTTAAGAGCTCTTGAGCTGTGATTGACTCTATAGGCATTATATCCAGAAATTAGCTTTCAGACCAGGATCTTGACTGTTGGAATTGTTGCTTATTAAATGTTGGATTTTGTTGGTTCAGATATTTTTGTAATCCCTCTACTAAAATTCTGTCCACTGCACCAAGGAAGTCTGCAGCTATCAGTGAAACACAAATATTCTGGAAAATAATTTTAATAAGGTACTTGGCCATTACCTTATCAAACTGAGCAGATCTCTGCATGATTTACCAGCTGGAAATAAGTTGGGTTGGAATAAGCTTTAAATATGAAGCTGCTGAGGAAATAATTTAAACATGTAGTGACTGTTAGATGAAAAATAGCCTCAAAAGAGTGCAAGAAGTACAACAAATTATGAGACATTACACTTTATAGGTGCTCTTCTAAATATTTTATTAAAGGACATACTTAGATACGTGCCCATCATGGTGTTACCTTTTTTCAGGGTAAGCACTCTGTGCAAAAGGCAACAAAAAAAAAAGGAAGAAGCACTAAGCAAAAGAAACTAAAGGCAGGCAGTAAGAGAAAAGGAATAGCTACCCTTCTAGTTTACGTCAACACAAACGAGTCCAACTAGTTTACATCAACACTATTCACAGTATATACCTTTCTGTCCTTGCAAATAATCTTTCTCCTATGTCTGTATACTGATTCCTGTATCACCTTTTGTTTTTTAAACATCTCACCTCTCTTTTTGGGGATCACCTGAACTCCACCAAATTACAACTGAATCAGTCTTGCCTTTCTTCTCAACCCATTCACTGTTCCTACACATATTTGTTTTACAATTCAGTATGCATTCACACACGCCATATGACAAACCATTGCAATATTTTGTTTGTTTATTTATATTTTAAATTGTCACCGCCCAGCTCACTACAGGTGGTTTTGTACTAGTCACTCACTTCTGCATTCAATCCAAATTCATTTGTCACCTTGACATCATTCTTAACTCTGTGTCTTCTTGTTTTACCACAGTGTCTTAGACATAAACCATTCGCACAGCATTTGACTTTGTTCTGTGTTTCTTGATATACTGAATTCTCACTTCCATTATGCTCTTATATATAGCTATTTTCACTTTTGACACTCATAATTAATTACATACTACCTCCTAGCTTTCTACCAGCATTTTCACATCATAATTTTTTTCCATTTTCACATCTTCAGTAAGCATTCTACTGGTACACAAATTCATGTTCCTGCTCTAATTTTTAACCATTTAGGCAATCAATCATTTCATTTTCCTTGTCATACACAACCATCTTGGTCTCTGATACATTCATTTTCAGTTCTATAGTCCTTGTTGTGTTGTACAACCTAACATTTGCTGCATATTATTTGGGTTCTCATCGAAGAACCCAGCATCATTTGCAAGAAAAAATACACTCACATTCCCATTCCCAATCAGTATGCATCACTACAAGAATTCCTAATATATTTATCCATAAATACATTAAATAATCAAGGGGACCTCATGCCCTTATCTTTCTTACTTACTCCTTTCTCATTATTGAACCATTTTGCTAAGCATTCTATTTATTTTCATACTTGCTTTACTTCCCTTATGTATCACTTTTATATTCAGCAACCAGCTATAGCATCATATTTGCGTAACACATTCCATAATTTGATTTCACTTAAAGTATTCACTTTACCATACACTTTATTTTAATCAACAAATATACACTAAAATTTATTACTCACATTTATACATTTCTCAGTGAATTGCTGAAGAGCAA